CACACAAGCAGGTCGTGACGTTTTGGGGTCCTTTTGCTGGCAAGAATGACAATTCCTCAGTTCCTAGGGTATCTTTTGGAGTTTCTCACAAGGCTTTTTCGGAGTGTGTAGGATATTTTAGGTCGTCAATTTCCACTCTTGTTACTCCTATCAATAGTACAGCTTCCCTATGACTCAAGGATATGAAAAAAAATCTATGCTTAAATTTAAAGACGTAGTCTTCTTTTATACTCCCTCTGTCCGGAAATACTTGTCGAAGAAATGGATGTATCTAGACTTACTTTAGTTCTAGATACATCCATTTTTATCCATTTCTGCGACAAGTAATTCCGGACGGAGGGAGTATTTTTTTTCCTTGAGTGGTCTCTAACCACCCTTGCTTCATTTCCTTGGGACTAATAAACGACTCATGCACTCCAGAATATCATTAGTACCCCAATAACCCGCCATTATCACCAAATCTTACTTTTGGGCTAAAGATGTCATTTTAGTTGGCAACTGGAACAAGCAAACAGATTTTTTTTTGGAGTTGTCACCTCAAAGAAGCAAAACTATCTTTCTTGGAAAAAAGACACCCAAAAGGCATCTTAGATCCGATAATTATCAACAAAAATAAAAAAAACATTACAATGGAATGACAACTAGACACAGAATGACAAGTAGAAAATAAATTACCTTAAAAATCATACTAGCCTCCTTCAGATTGTACACCATCTTTCGGAGATTAAAAATTGCACTCAACCGACAATAAAGGAAAGCGACGCCTACAAACATCCTCGCCATAATAGGCTTTAAAGACCGTAATAGCCACTCTCTGCTTGAGAAAAGATCTAAAACACGCTGAAGAAGCATCAGTTGGTGCATCACCCCATGCAGTACAAGAGTTGGAGAAACCAAATCATGCCGTAGAAGAACACGTAAGAAGATGTGGAAGTCGCTGCACAAATAGCGAACCATTTGCTCTCCTTGATAGGCACATCAATTGTCAAAATTCAAAGACAGTCAACAAATTTGGCGACGCAAACTCTTACAGGCCCTTCATCGGTGCCAGATCGAACGTCGTTGATGTAGAGAGATGCCGAAGAGAACTTATTCCAACATGCCATCACCGCCACCAGTTCGTTGATGCAGCCAGGTATACAAAACTGAGGGAAAAGAAAAATGAGACAGATGGGTCCCCACTCCTCTTGCCGTCGACGAGGCAACTGGACGGGGAAGAAGAGCAGGACCGAGGCGATGGCATGGAGGAAACCTTTAACCAAAAAATGAGGCATGCAACACCAGGACTTCCCAGGGCGTCACCCATTCTAGTACTACTCTTGTCGAAGCACACTTAACTTTGCTATTCTGATGGGATTCATTGCTTTACTGTTGGTATAAACCTCGAAGAAGCAAAACGGCCGTAGACTGAAGCATGACTATTATCTTGTAAATGTGTGTCCCTCTTGTATTATTGTATATAAAATCTTTATCATGTTAGAACAAGTTTGCATCATGTCCATAGGCCAATGATGATGTTTAAAACCTTGGCATGATGAATGTTTGACGATGCTTTGCTTTATGTGTTTGCGGATATATGAAAATGGTAAAACTCAAGCAACAAAGAATATGCATCCATTTGATGTCCAGCAAGGTATAATGTCAGGTCTAGGTTGGTAAGTGTTGCTACGTTTTAGACGTACAAGCACATAAAGTCTAGGCAATCCTTTCTAAAAAAGAGTCTTATCTTATCCCTATTGGTCTAGATGCATCATGTCATGTTAAATTATGTTCGGCTATTGCATGTTCAAGTATAGAAATATAGCTTTCCATGTCTAGTTGTAGGATGCAAAATATTTAATGTTTAATTTACCATATAGAAGTAAGTCTGTTTTTCATGACTCACTATTGTAACTTATTTCAACCCTACTAATGTCTAGTAATTAAAACTTAATAGGATGCAATTGAAACTATTGTTTCCGAGATACCGTCCCACATAAGTTCCACAAGCACGTTTGAACATAATTCCCAATTAGAGACAAGCCCACCGAAGTTGCCAATTATTCAAGCTCTTGAGGCTCTACTATTGGCTGAAAGACAGGGTGCAGCTGCACTCCGAGATGCAACTGACATCATGAGGAGGCAAATAGAGCAATCAGATGCACTCCTCACCAAAACCAAACAAGAGATGGATGAAGTTAGAAAGAAGCAAGCGAAGACCGACCAAATTCTTAGGCTTCTAATATCCGGAGCTCAGGGCAATCCCACTTCATAATCTTAGTTGAAATGTTGATTCTCTTTGTGGGCTTGTCATGTGAAGATGTGTATGCATGAACTCTTAGGTGTATGTCAAACGTATGTGAGTGTAATACGAGATGAACTAGAAATTATTCATTCTCCAAATTACTCACGGACAAAAATGATGTGGAGGTGGCAATGATGTGGATGTGGAGCCTATCGAGAAAAAAGATGTTTCATCTAAAAAGACATCTATGACACGACATTTTTATTGTGGAGGTGGCAATTAATTCGATGTTGTAAGCATAATATGGAACATGCACCTTCTCTGTATGGGGAATTCCCAATAGACGCAAGACGAGAAGACCCAATTTGTCGTATGTATCTAAAAAAGGCCCAATTGTTTCAAAAAAAAAGGCCCAATTTGTGTATGTATCTCACTGTTTCGTGAAACTTTCGCGTTCCTTTTCCTCTTCGGATACTGGTGTGTCTCTCATGGCGAGTGGTGATAATGTTTTTCTCAATGGTGCATTGTAATACTAACAAAAAGAAAAATGCCCCTCTCATGTTGCCCCACGTGCAATGGGGAAGGAACCCTAGCCGCCGTCTAGTCCCC